TTATTGCGCCAAAGCTCCCATAACTAGATGGTATGACCGAGATTACAGATTTCTAGATCCAACCAATAATTGACAACCATAAACCATAGCACAGGCTATTTTTCAAAATTCGTCATATGTGGGATTTGAACTCTAGACCTGCCACTTGGAGAGGGTGATGACTAGACCACTACACTAAGTCGCCACACCTCTACTTTGTTTTTTTCTTATTTTTATTTACTTTCTATATATTATTGCATTTTGCTTAATATCTATTTCAAGTTACTGCTATTGAATTTGCTGCAATTGGAGTTATTACTATTAAAGTTATTGTTAAGTAGTTATTTTGATTGATTGATTTATTTGTTTTTAAACCTTTTATTTTGACACTATTGTTTTACTTTGATTTTGTTTTTTTATTGATATTATTAGTTGCTGGGTTATTTTTAAAGTTGGTAGTTTTAGTAATTAAAATATTATCTTTATTCAAAATATAAATTAATAAAATAGAGTATCTGTATTATAAAATTAAGTTAATAAAATAATAAAATTAAGAAAATAAAATTAAGTTAATAAAATTAAGTTAATAAAATTAGTTAATGACATTTTAAATCTTAAAAAATTCGAGAAATCAATATTAAGGTAGAGGCTTATAATAATAATTATAGTATATTATTTTAAAGGGAAATGCTTTGTTTTCTTTACTGTAACAATTCATATAGCCGCACTTGCTAATATATCTTTCTTTTTATTTTCTTCTTTTTATACATTTTTGATCTTTGGATGGTTGAGTTTCATGTTTGTTTATCTTATTCAGCTTACAAATCTTACCTGATAGAACAAACATCTAGCCTCAATTATAGTGGCGTTTACTGTATCCAATTTTGTAGATCTACCTTTTGCCTGTGACACCAGAAGTTATACTATATTTATCTATCGAATAATTATGATAAAGTATATAATGCCTAAAAGAATCAATAAATCTATTAACACTTTAAGCATTCTTGCATTTGTAACTTTTGCATTATATTACGATCAAATATGCATGTTACAAGATGTGAAATTAACCTAAAAATTGTATCTGGTTTTATTTTTCATATGTTAAAGTCAATTAAAACTGGTCACAACACCTAAATTAGCCATCAAATTCAGTAACTTTTGAATGATATATACATATGATAAGTATACATTATTATGATATAATTGCTGATAAATTGCTTTGTATTGTAATGAATGAATTGTATTTTTCCCATATGATATAAATTTTAGTTTAAATATTATATTTTCTAATTATTTTATTATTATATTGTTGTTATTATATTATCTATTATTAACCTCCAATTCCATTTTGATAACAATACCTGTGTGTATTATTAATTTTATCATGTTGTAAATATGTTAATCTATTATACTAAAATGGAAATAGCTTAGGGGCTTAGACACGTAAAAATCAAATATATTGTAAATATATAGAAATATTGCAAAGATGTGGGCATGACAAAAGATGTGTAGTCATAACAATGAAAATGTTGCAAATGCCACAAATCCATTGAAATTATAATGGGGAAGTTGAAAACTCAACAAATCTATTGTAAAATCGAAAAATGTATATAAGATCTTTCGATTTAATAAAGTTAAAAAAGTCCCACATTCCTTTACATTAAGTAAAAAAATAGTAATGTAAAATACTTATCTTTTAAATTTTGACTTTAAATTTAATAAAAACCTTTGATACTCAATTCAACAAAATGATTGACTTGTAACTTCGATTGATTTTATTAAAACTTGAAATTTGGTGTAACTGTTTTCTTACGTCATTGAAAATTGCTTATGTAACTTACAACTAGAAGTTCATTTATCTAAGGAAAAAATTATTTTGAAATATGAAAAGTAATAACTGCTACCTCCTTTGGCATCACCAGCATTAGCTGATTTTAAAATATCAGGATTAGAACCATGATAGCATATTACTTTAATATCAAATATCATCTTTTGATCACTTTAAACCCTAGTTGTTCTTAAGACTCCAATTGAGTTATTTATTATAAACATCATTATTGATCAATCATAATTCCTTTAACTTCGCTTTTAGAAGAATTATTTCTTCTTACTGTATAGGTGCATAATAACGTGCAGGGGTGTTATTTTGAATAATAACCCGAATTAGGCTTAATTTAGACCAAATTTCGAAATTATATCCTGCGCGTTATTACACGCTTATACAATAATATCATTTCTGAACTATTTTAATTCATAGTTATTTCATTGATATATTGTTTAACATATGCATTTTTAGTTATTATCATACTTCAAATTATATTAAGTTTGTTTTCATTCTAAAGATTGATTAGTTTAAGGCAGATTCATATTTATTTTACTTTTATAAAACCCAATTTTGTACACGGTTTGAGTTTCAAATTGGCACTTTTTCCAACACAACTGTTACAGTATGTATATTGTGAACGTGGGAACCGATCTAAAATCTCAAAAATATGGGTCTCACAAATATAAACACACACTAAAACTATCTAAAACAACACTACAAGTCACTATCTAACCTAAACTCTAATAGTGGTAGACTACGATCGATAGTCCAAAAAATTAGAGTTTTAGATTAGAGCTCTATATTTTGTCATGAGGCTATGCTTCGAAAGGTTTAGACTATTAATTCTATGTGAATTTAATTTATCTAGGGGTGGGATAATTGAAGCAAATCTTTATATTCAGAATAATAGACTCTGGTTGAGTTGAACTCTAATGAGTTTCTGCCAACTCTTTATTTTCTTTATTAAGGTGAAATATGGGTCTTACTTTTAGACCACTACTGTGTACATAATGGCTGTGTTCGCTATTTAAACTACTTTTACTATGTTTGCTATATCTAAATATACTAATTGATAAATTTGGAAGAAGGTGAGTGACACAATACGAATTTGTACAGTTATTACCCTCTATAGTTACCTCCTCTATAATCACATTATATAAAAACTCCTCTTTATCACATTTTATACTTAAAAACAAATTATTAGTAAATATATAAAAATCTATCTCTATATAAGCACAACCTCTTTATAAGTACATTTTTTAAAAAATTTATTAGGTATACAAAATGTGTGATTATAGAGGGGATAACTGTATATTGTCACAGCTTGGGAGAGACTTTAAGAACTTTATTACCAATTTAGCTTTAAGCCATGAATATTAGGGTCTTAAAAGAATACAAGTTTTATGTTGGGAGAGTGAATATTGTATGTTTATTATGTACAAGAGCCATATGTGTTTCAAAGACTTCTATACTAAAGATTCTTTTATATACATCTAGTGATTACCAAGAATGAGGTAAGACATACGACTATTTACAAATAATGTGGTAATGCTAATTTACTATGTTTGAATGTAGTAATCATTACCCGGAATATAATCATAATCCGATGTCAATAATGTAGTAATGATCTACTAATTATAGAGCAATGGGGTAATGAAAGAAATACTAATTATGGACTAAATTAGTATACTAGAAAAATTTCCTATGACATATTCTTCCTCTTAGTGATGAGCACCGGCGAATCACTATTCATTCTTCATTTCCATCTTTCATTGTGTGGATTTGTTTATCATGACAACTTCAGGAGAACCATATAGCCTTTTTCATTATTATTTTTATGCATCCACATATTTACTATGGGACATCTTCATTTTTTTTTTTTTGACTACAGCTGAAAACCTTCATAAATATATATATATTTTTTTTTAGCCATGATCACCTAAATTATTTTTTTTAAGCAGATGTTCTACTAAGTTACCAATTTGGGTTTCAATTATAAAATTATTCATCGCATGCAACTTCAGCATTATTCTAAAAATTATCCACTGCTTTATCTATCATTCAACATTCATTCGGACTTATTACTATATTATTTCAAAAATTAATTTTTTTGTTTTTTTTTTATATCCTTACGTATATCTATTTTCTGCAGTCACCCAAATTATTGTGGATAAATGATCTCTCAATAATTTTGCTCAAGGATGTACAGAAGAGCCTTTAAACATTGATTATAAACCTTCTTTTACTTTTCTTGAGTTTATCAGGTATGTACCTTTCTCTAATCTTACTTTCTTTATTCATCTTGTGTACAATATCATTCACACCTTCAGTTTGATTTACTCTTTTTTCAACCTGCTTTTCTGTTGTTACATTACCATTATCATACTTACTTTTTACCAATGATTTTCTATTATCGGTGCACTTCATACTCCTCCACTTAAATGCATTGGGCTTATTCTTTCCTGTCACAATTCCGTTTTTACTATAACTTTCAAGACCAACATTTTTACCAGATTTCACATCACCGGGTTTATCCTGAACACAATTTTCCAGATCCATATGTTCATCAAAGTTTTGGGCTTTTGAATCATCACCTTCATCAGGATTTTGCAAGCACTGTTCAAAAGTTTTGTATTCGTCAACAACAGGCTTTTGATAATAATCAAATACTTTATATCCATCTATTTCAACTCCAATTCTATTCTTTTTGACACTTATTTTATTTTCATCATAGTTCCCTAGATTATTAATTCCACTGAGATGTTTTATGTATGGGTGGCAACTTGCTACCTTATTTTCACCAATGGTAATACCCATGTCATTTTGGTAACAACATTCAAGGCCCCACATTGCATTAATATGACCCATATCTGCAGGCTTTAATAGTTAATGAATGCCTTGGGTTTATATTTTTCTATCCCAATCCTGTTTTGGTAGCAATTACTAAAGTCACCCATTCCTTCAGCAAGGTCTATTTCTGCTGACTTTTGATGGTAAATTGATGCCTGATGTTCATTCTTTTTATTTAGCATTATAGCTACTTTTTCTCAGTTGAATACCTGTACTTCTGTGCCACCTGTGTCATGTTTCATCACTGTTTCTTTACCACCAGGATGTTTTACAAATATTTCATGGTTATTCTTTTCTTTTTTTATCTCAGTTTGATAACAATAGCCTAGATCATGTACTCTATTATCATGGCAAGTCTTTTCAGATTATTGAATGTCTTTTGTGTCTTTTGTCCTTTGTTTTCAACACCAATTTCATTTCGATAACAATGAAAAATTCTGGAGAACGTAAGTGCTAGTATATTATTGTTATTGTTTACCTTATATTCATCCTTCTTAGTCTCGATTCTATTTTCACAGCCACGTTTAACATCAAATAAGCTTCAGACTTCTCTTATCAGATCTTCTGAATCATCTGTCATTTTAGGATTATCAAATATATCCTTTTTATATCCTTTCTTATTGTTATTAGCATCATTTTGGCATGCATTTATCCTTTTATCAGAGACCCACATTTATTATTTTTGGGCTCTTTAGCTTCTTGTTTTCACGGTTCCTTTATTGAGGTCTCTTTTTGAATTTTATCATTCGGGTTTGTATTTACTAGAGAATCGTTGAGTTTTGTTTTCTCTTGCTTTTTACTTTTATCCGTGCTCACATAACCACTTGTTTCACTTCAGGGCCTAGTTTCGTCCAAAGGACATTTCACTCCTTTTTGGTCACTTTTATCAGGCGGATGGTGGGGATGATTATTAATAATTTTATTACTCGCCACAGCAGAGACAACATCTTGCAGTAAAAAAACTACTTGTTCTATGGGATTCTTTGTCATTGGGGCCACAGGGGTTGCTATTCGTGGTGTTGAAAGAGGCACTACTTGGAGCAACTACAAAGGGTAACAGGGCTGCAAATAACAAAATTGCGCGCAATTGTTATTTTACATGTCCGGGCCCTTTATATAGCCTCCCAAAGAGTACTTGGTATAAATGGTTGAACAGACAACAACAAGTCTGAATGGTGGCCTTGTATGAACATTTCTACTTTAGTACTCTCGGAGTACTGGTTTCTAATTCTTCCTAATCGTTGAAACAACACCAACATGTTGGCGGAGTACTGATCCACCATTTCTATGGCTCCTTGCCTATGGACAAACAACCCTGCATTCCACTAAGCTACCATAGTCAGAGTACAAAAATTTAAGAGGAATTGGTTTACAAAGCTTTGGTTCTGTGCATGCTTATTATCCCAGTATAGGATCCTTGGTCCTATTCTTTTATGATCTTCCTACCAAAATGCAGTGAGACTTGTCAAACTGGCACTCGCAACAGCCAGCTTTCTTGCGCCTACAATATTGTTTGCCTCGAAACTGCTGTTAGCTGATTCTAACCATTCGACCGGGTCCTGATTTCCTCCTGCATACATCAGGATCTTCACAAAAGTTTGTTTCTCTAATTCTATTTGGGGTTCTCGTGATTGAGCCAAAACGTTTACCATGCTTTAGTGTAGTTGTTGTAGATCGTTGGGCTAATTCTTGTTTTCTAGACTGTCATTATTTTTGCAGAGACTCTTATTTTCTCTAACTATTCTACCATTATTTACCAGATCCAATATGTTCTTCCACATAATTAGGCTTCAATTATGCCTTTTAATATAAGAAGGCGCTGAGATATGATGATTATTCCACACAACTGGCACCAAAAATGTCACGGCTTGGGAGAGACTTTAAGAACTTTGTTACCAATTTAGCTTTAAGCCGTGAACATTAAAGTCTTAAAAGAATGCAAGTTTTATGTTGGGAGAGCGAATATTATATGTTTATCATGCACAAGAGATAATGTGTTCCAAAGACTTCTATAATAAAGATTCTTTTATATACATCTAGCAATTACCAAGAATGAGGTAAGACATATGACTATTTACAAATAATGTGGTAATGCTAATTCACTATGCCGAAATGTAGTAATCGTTAGCCAGAATGTAATCATAATCCAATGTCAATAATGTAGTAATTATCTACTAATTATAAAGCAACAGGGGTAATGAAAGAAATACTAATTATGGACTAAATTAGTATACTAGAAAAATTTTCCATGACAATATACAGACTCTAATTGGCTTAGATAGATACAAATCTGAACCTAGATACAAATTTGTATTTTCTATGAACTTGCTTTTTCCCATACTTAGTACTAATAGATAAATAACACTAATAACATATCAATAACAATAAAAAAATAAAATAAATAATATAAAAAAAAGAAAATATGTGGCTTATGACCACCAGGGAGGCAAAACATACATTTTTGATGCTCTTGCGCCTACTTTTTTGATTCACCCAAATGCACCCTAAAAATTTATATACTTTTTTGATACACGTACATGTGATCTGCCAATATAGTTGTATTTTGTATGTAGCGACAGTATAGAAGTTTATTGTAATTCCACCAACTTTATTAAACGCGATTATAATCGTAGTATTAATGTGTTACATTTTAATTAAATTTATAACTTTGTGGCTATTATAACATTATACAATTATTACTCAACATTTAATAACATTTAATACGTATTAATGTGCAAGTATTTCTGGTTTACTAACTAAGTTTTGAATATCTATAGCTGATGCTGATTGATGAGTTTCAGCTGTTGTAAATTGTGGTTGAGGTGTTGTCAATGTGCTGCAATAGGAGAAGACATTGTGGTTACTGAATGTTCGCTATTTTGCGAAGTTAAAATAAAGGTCTCGGAAATTGGTTTATTATGGTGGCTCTATATAAAAAAAAGTTTGAAATTAGAATGTAAATAATTAATTAATAATTTAAATAAAAATAAGCTCAATTTACTTTAATTTTGCGTTTTGCTTTCCTAATACTCGTCATTTTTCTTTTTTGAGCTAAAGGTGTTAAAATTTCATTATTTGTGTCATTAGGTTGAATTGAACGTAGAATACGGCTAGGCTTGTGTGGTTTAGCTGAAGGCTTTGGAGGTGCACCATTATTTACTGACCGATGTTGGTTTAACTCTAATGGTTGAAATGGATCTGTACAAACATTTAATTGCATTTTAAAAGAGTAAAAAATTTGTGCCCCTATTATATTTAAATAGGTTATATTTGTACATACATACGTAAATGTAATCAACTTTAATAATAAATATCGATATACCCTTAATATCATAAAGACAAATTATTTCCTGATATGCCTCTTCGGTGGATCCAAGATAAATTGTATTGTTTTTTTTATCTGGAGATATAACTCGTTCCTTATTTTTAAAATAACTAACTAGCTTGTGCTTTATTTCATGTACTGTATCTATATTTGTATGTATTGCTGAAAAAATTCTTGTGGCATGGCAGTGTTTGCAAACATCATAAAATGGCACATTCCATATATAATCTAAACATTGTGGACATTCACCAGTAATAATATTTGTGATATAAAACCCATCTTGTAATGCAATTTCACAATCACTAGCCAACAATTCTATCATTGGTTGAAGATAGTGTAGATAGGTAATATTATCATCTTCTAGTTTTATTGATTCTTTGCTATAATATAATCTTGGTCAATAATTTCTTTTTCATGATACTTTTTAATATAATAGCAATTAGGATGGTTAGATTGTTTAACCAAATCTAAAAGAAACTACAATCTTCCTTGATTCAAATATCAACTCATATCTGATGTTACTTTGGATGATTCATTTTGCTATTACGATTTTTATATTATATATATAAATTAAATAGTTATAATATATGTATTTAATTTAAATTAAACAACTTACTTGTTCAATTGATTGTGCATTAAAGTATGTAACTAAACCTGCTTCATAAGTTACTTGTCCTGTCCCTTCTTTAACTAAATTTTCCTGTAATAGTTTTAATCCATATAGCTGTTCAATAAATGTGACAACTATTTATTTGCCAAATAATTGAGTCTCAACTCTTTGATTCATTCTTTCTGTGTAGTTATTAGTAGTCATTAAACTTGCATTAATTGTGTTTGAAAGTTGTCTAGCATCAATAAACTGCAATCTCCATTCATCACACATCTAATTTTTATTTAAATCCTCTACTAATCGAGATTTTTGTTCTTGAGTAAGTGAAAGTATAGTAATAAATTTCTCATAACACTCTGTCATTTTAAATGCTTTTTCCTCAGTACGACATCGACCTACTAGTTTGAATCCTAGTGCAATTATATATCTTAATATATATTAAATTAGTTTTTTATGCAGAATTAAATAAAAACTTAAAAATAAAAAAATACTAACGTAATGAATGTGGAATATCCCATTCTTTTAAGTTGTTACAAATGTTTGCATAATATGGAACCAGCAAAGTATAGTTCCACGCACAAGTCCTTCGACTCTACGTTTAGTAGGTTGATGTTTATCAATCATTATATAAGGATTTCATATTTGATTATTACAAGTATGAATTCTTTTAAATCCACTATTATTTAGAAGATCTTCATAATACTATGAATGTTCACAAGTAGATTCGCTACAGGGTATATTTTGCTTAACCACATTTATTGCTAGTTGTATTGACCAATTATTTTCTTTATTACTTAATCCTATTATTAATTATAATGTAACTATAAGTATTAATATTTTTTAAATAAAAAAAATATACCAAATGCTAATGGAGTTCCATGTTTTGCACTATTTTCAACAACCATAGTTAAAACTGGAGCATGATCAATATTAAGATCATATTTTCCATCAACACTGAAACAAAGTTGTCCAAAATCTCTTCCATTTCGTAACCAGAATTCATTAGACATGGTCAATTGATAATAATGTTCAGCAGAATTTTCTGGTTTAGATAAATCTGGCTGCTGATAGTATAGAATATAACCTTTAGGTTTTAAATTTTCACTGACAAAATAATGAAGAACTGTCCATGGACCTGTATAATCTTTCAATCTTCTGTCTTCACGAATGATAAATCTCTCTAATTTTTTATTATCACAAACCTCTCTACTATTTAATAATGCTTTATTTAAATCTTCCTCATTAGCACCATTTAATGAATGCAATAATTTTCCTTTAATAGCTTTTGTTGTTGATGATCTGCACAACGGCTAGTAATAATCTGGTCTCTAACTTGACATGTTAAATTAATTCTTGTAATTTGTGGAATGCTAACATTTACCATATTAGAAGGATAATGTGTTCCTTCAATTTTGATACGAAGTTGATGATTTGAGTTGAGATAAGATAATCGTAAAAAAGAGTAAACCCGAACAGAACAATGATGCATATCATTTCCATTTTTAAGGTTATTAGATAAATTAAAATTTGAACATTTAGATAAACATTCTTCAATACCACCACATTGATGCTGACAAGTTTTTCCATCACCCGTGCAATACATAACCCATGACCAACATAGCTTATTCTTTTTAAAACTGGCTTGAATTTGGTTAAAATATTCTTAACCTTTATCAGTAAGCTTCAAAGTATCATCAATGCGGTTTGTTGATTTTTGATATCCAGAAGACATTCATTCTGTATAATCAACAGCACCATCCACATGATAAAGTTTAATTAATTCATCACAAATTAATTTTGATGTTTTTAAACGGCTTTGAGACTTTAATCGTGTATTTTTTAAAAGTGGATGTTGTAGTAAATACCACTCAGCTATTCGTCCAAAAGGAACTGAAACTGAGTTATTGTTATTGTAAATAATTTGGTTTTCCATTTTGTAAAAAATAAAAAATATATGAAGATCGGTTTTAAAGGTAGTTTTTATTATATTCATTATTATTTTCGCTTTAATTGTATTCGTCTTAAATTAAGTTGATCGAACTATTAGTCATTATAACGTATATGTAATACAAGTATTATATATATTTTTATTTTTTTACTTTTGACTAACGTATATACATATGTACGTATGTACGTATGTACATATATACGTAAGTACGTACATATATACGTAAGTACGTAAGTATGTAAGTATGTACATACGTACGTATATATCAGATATCTAATCATATGTATCACATATATCATGTGATTATTTATATATTTCGGTATCAAAAAAGTATATAAATTTTTAGGGTACATTTCGGTGAATCAAAAAAGTAGGCGCAGGAGCATCAAAAATGTATGTTTTGCACCAGGGAGCCACTCACAACGTACATGTACGACTGTGTGAATAATAATAATCGTGATAAAAATATCCTTCTGGTTCAGAGTTCGTCTAATTGATTTTGAGACGGTCTACCACATGGTTTATCTTTCTTATCAGCACAGAAATTGACATTTCATTTTTACCAATCTAATCACTTTATTGAAGCACAATAACTAAAATGATGACAAATTATTAATCATGTCAACTTTTGCTGTGCCGATAAGAGAGGTGAGTCATGTGATGCTGTGTCTGCCGTCTCACTGAATTTTTTTTTTAATGCACCTGTGAATTATTATATAGCGATAGTGTTTGTCATATATTATGTATGTATTCGCCCCGTTAAAAAACTGTGGTTGAATAATTATTACATTCTCGTGATCATCCGTGTGATTGTCAAATTTGTAATTGTTGCGATCAATGTCATCATATATTTGCAATCGATCTATGAATTAATAATCAATGCATAAAAATTAGACATTGCGAATCAAGAAGCAGCAACTACCAGAATTACATAATAAATATGAAATTTACAGTCATATATATGTACTGTAGTATTGTAATTCAGTTGCCATTCATTTTACTACCTGAATACTGCAAAGCGAAAACCAGACATACAATAATGATATTGACAATAATCTTTTGTTAACTAAGCTAATCAATAAATTTTACCTAAAATTTGATTTAATAAATATTTTTTTTTTTAAATCAAAACTTAAATATTATTAAATACAATGCTCTTGAGATTTTAAATTAATAAATTTAAGACTTGAGCTATTCCTCGAATTTATATTTGTGAAATAAGTAATATAAGATGCAAATGTAAAAGAAAAAGCACTTTATAGAGACAGTTGCAACTGAATAATTATATAAAAATTTAAATGAAATATCTCATAGAAAGCAAACATTATTTATGAATAAACATTTTTATTTTACGAATTACAGTAAGTGATTAAACATATTGGATCTGGGCTATGTCTAAGTATATATCCAATGTTCTATCCAGCCCAATAGTACAAAAATTAGGTGGACATTGTCCAACCTAACACTGTGTTCTACTTATTAAAATATATTATAGCCAGATATAATTCGGATTCAAACCCGGATATCCTAATAGTATCCGTCAACAAATCCAGATTAAAAATTTAAAAAAGGAAACCTATCCAGTTATCCGGTTAGACATCCGGAATTAAGCACTAATTTCTAATTATTATTATTATTATTTTGATTTTATATCAATAAAATATTTTTACATAAGTTTTTGATATTATTTACAATATAAAATTTTAATCTACAGTAGCTATACCAAATTTTTATAATAAAAGCCCTCTGAAATTTTGTTAGATTGTTTTTTTGGATGCCTAATCTTCATGTATGCAGTACGATAACAATATTATGCATTTTTTAACTTTTAATAATTAAGATTTTTTAAATAAATGTTTCGAACTTCACATGAGCAAGATAGGAAGATTAAAAATTGATTGTTTCGCAAAATATTATAAAAATGCCAGGGGCATGAATCTTTGAAAATAACGAAAGTTAACATTAGTTCTTTTAATTTGGTTAATTAGAGTTTTTATTGAATATACAATCAAACAAATTTCTATCATTGCGTATTTTTAGCACTATTTGGTACAGATTGCATTGTTCATTAAAAAACGTAACATTATGATCAAGATTCTCTATCTAAATTATACGCGTTTTTTTCTATAATTCCATGTTAAACAGTTAAATTACTCAACCCAAAATTATTACTCACTATATGAAGGTTTAATATTTCCCATTAGCAAGGATGAAATGAAACTTAACCCACATATAGGTATGAAAGCTATAAAGGACGAATGCAATGCGATCAAATAAGCATGAATAACCAAGGCCCGTGATTCAACTGGTAAAAATTGCACAGAGTCTACAGATTGTGGTGTAAAATTTTGTGGCAATGATAATGAATTCAAAGATTGTATAAGTTTGTTATTAAATATATTCCCTATTATTGCGTTTCCAAGCACACCTCCAACTGAAATAGTGATAAAATAAATTAATAACATTTATAATGAATAAATGAATAAATTTTTTTAAAAAAAATATTCACCGGTAGCAAAGAACATTAGTAAAGAGGTGGTAATTGCTATATCTTTATGCTCAATAGACTCTTGACAGCATAATAAAACACCTTGAAAAATTATACCAGCACCAAATCCAGCTATAACCATGAATCCGATCAATTCACCGGGACCACTATTTTCATTCCACATTGTAATTAATCCAAAACTAATAGTCATGGAAGCTGCACCTATAAGGCAGAGTAATCTATATGTCACTTTGTTGGTTCGAGAATATAGTTGACCCGTTAGAGCACTGGCTACTGAAAATCCAAGAACGTAGGGTACTAATGCCAATCCTGCCATAGTAGCTTTTAATAATAATAGTAACAACAATAATGGGTTTTAAACTTTGAAAATTGGAATTTTGTGAGGTAATGTGTGGGTGGCTTACCGGAATAACCTTTTACCGCTTGAAAGTAGATAGGTGCATAAATAATAAAACTAAAGAATGCCATTCCTTGCAAAAAGCCTACTAAAAAACATGAAATTATGTGAAGTCTTTTGAACAGATGTGCTATCAAGAAATTTTGTATAGATAATTTAATAAATTAGCTATTATAAAACATAAAAAACTTTAAATATACTCTTGTGTTAGATACCTACGTGGAGCAATAGGCTCGACAGCTACGTAACTTTCAACAAAGCCAAATATAACATAACCAACCACGCCAATGCAAAAGGGCACTATAATCATGGGACTGTTCCAGGCATAGGCACTACCACCCCAATTAAGAGGTAGCAATATACCAATTGTTGATACAATAATTATGGCAATACCAATAATATCGAGTCTCTTGATCTTTTCAAAAAGGTCGGTTTGTTTTGAGGAATGAAGGCTAAAAGTCACTGCGATGATTGTTATTATCCCTAGAGGTAAATTAATAAAAAAACACCATCTATTTTTGGTAAGAAACTTGAAGAGTTACAAAAAAATAAACCATATGGGCAGCCGTCAATTGAAATCAAGCAAATCTACATTTGAAAAAAAATCAATGACTCAACTTTCACTGCTCATATCTCGATGCATTTCAAAGCTATCTTGACAATTTAATATTAAAAAGAAAGCTTATGATCTAAGCTTTCTTTGAATATGATAGCTTTAAAATTCATCGAGATATGAGCTGTGAAAGTTGAGGCATTAATTTTTTTTTCAAATGTAGATTTGCTTGATTTCTATTGACGGCCGCCCATATAGATTTGACTACATACCTCCAACTAACATGATCTGTAAAAATACCACCCAAAAGAGGTCCGACTACAGAAGAGATACCATAGCATGCATTGATAATACTTTGGTACTTTCCAACATCTTTAGCACTAACTATGTCTGTAACGATAATCTCAGCAAGTCTACAAAAGCAAAAAATAAAATAATAAAATTAAATTAAATTAGTTTATACACAGATCAAAATATTCCGATGCGGCAAAATACATACATAAAGATTCCACCGCCACCAATACCAGCAATAGCACGGAATATTATAATTGAAATCTTATAAACATTAAGTAATTTTCGAATTCATAACTTTAATAATTGTTAACGTTAATGCTATATACTGTAGTAATAAATAAAATTACCATATTTTGTGCGACACCACATAGTAGGCTGCCCAGCTCAAAAACAAAAACAGAGAACAATATAGTCACTTTGCGACCAAAAATATTTGATAACTTTCCATAAATTGGTTGAAGGGAGGTCTACATTAATTAAAGTAAGACTTAATAAAAGAGTTAAATGTGAATCACATCGTTGATAATTAGTTATAAATACTTCTGTAAGTAAGTATGCACCGGCAATCCAAGAGATTTGATTCAACCCATTGAAATCTGAAACAATTTTAGGCAAAGCAGCAGCAACGATTGTTTGGTCCAATGCAGCTAAACACACAGCACATCCTAGACTGCCAATCATAAACTTAATAAGTATACTATACAAGGTTGAAAATTTGATAGAAAATACATACCCAAACATAACAAAAAGTAATTTAAATCCATGCAATAAAGTAGAACGATCAGTGGTTAGAATATCATTATTTGAATTGATGTTCATATTATTATTGTTGGAGAAATAAAATATAAGTAAGAAAACAGAAATTAATGATAAAGCCTTTTAAGTATAAACATCTGGGCTAATTATGCTTGTACCCCGAAATTCAAAGGTACTAACCGATCGGTTGTAGTTAAATTTTTACTTGAAAGATATATCACACATTGAGATCAGTATGAATAAGCAAACCTAGCATCGCCCATAAATATTTATAGCTGACATCACTTGATAAAATATAATGATAGATTGAGAGATTGTCTAATTCTTAAATTGATTATAGTGCTCGGCAAAATCAAACAAAAACTTGATTTTCAAGTTTTTTGAATCTATCGATTTACAGTATCGTGCTTTAATTACAAAATCTATTTTTACTCTAATCTGACTTTAAACTTCATGGTAAGTTACCACGAAGTCTAAAGTAAGATCGGATGCCTGTTAGATTTATATATTTACTAAAAATAAAGTTTGTATTTAACGCCAATTGATAGATTCAAAAACTTGAAAATAAAGTTTTTGTTTGACTTTGTCGTGCACTAATTGAGTATCAGTCAAACCTCCATATATGCACCCCTTGGGACCGACCATAAGTGTGTATTTGTAGAGATGTGCATTTATAGAGTGTAGTTTTATTAGTGTCATTATTAGTTGGGACTGAGGCATAGGTGCAATTATAGAGGGTGTATTTATAGAGCGTGCATATATAGAGGTTGACTGTACTAATTAAGAATCAAGTAACACTTATAAAATGCTATATACAATGTGATGTCTGCTATATTTTTTTGTGGAAGACGCTAGAGCTGTAAGTATGAATAAATGTACACAGTGCTCGTTTAATTATCGATTTAATTGGTGAAAAAAGTATACGATTGAAGGTGGGGTAATTGGTTAGACGCAAGTTCTAATATGTAATATTACCAAGAACGAACCCCCCTTCACATGCAACGTATTATACCAAATTTTACTAAATTTATCGATATCAATATCCATTTTTGGCATTTGATTAATTAACGCACGTTTATCAGAAGCTGATTTTAGAAAAACAAAGCGACTAGACGTATTTAGTTCCTAAGTCACTGTATATGATCACGTGATGGATTTTATAGTAAACTTATCACGTAATTAGATCACTTCAAGGTCACTGCTAAGGCAATTAATTGCAGTTTTACAAGCTCAATTAATTGATTGGTGGCGCAGTCAAAATTGGTCAATTAATTGCAATTTTACGTATTTAGATTAATATCTTATATTTTTGATATCGCTGTTTAAAAATCAGGTTACTCCAGTGTAAAAATTTATTTTAATTTCAATTAATTGCAATTACTGTATTTTGTTATTAATTGGGTTTCAATTATTTATGATTATTTTAATTAATTTTAATTGTATGACGTATAGCAAAAGTTAATTTTAATTGATTTTTCGTCAGGTCTGCTCATTGCTACAGTATGGTGGTTTGGGATTGCTTAGTGAGCTGCGCATTTGTATTCCATAGTCCTTTTGGTTGCATTAGAAGGGTGCAATTAATGATTTATAATTTTATTGTAAAGTACAAAAATATTCAGAAATGTACGCCTAATTGGCATCCCACGGTGAATAACACCAACATACCGTAATAGTAACTGCTAAGAGAAGTACCGTATTCCTCCGAAAATAAGCACCCCTTTTTTGCACTTAATGTTGGTCAAGATAGTTATAATTCAGGCCAAATTTTTTATAATGCAGGCCAGGGGTGCTTATTTTCGGGGAGTGCTTATTTTCGGAGGAATACGGTACCCGGGATATCTATATGCACATATATATGTATATAGCGGTTCGGTACCCTGAGTACAGTACTAGTCAATGCAAATACAGTTAGACCTCTATTATGCACGATTTATAATTGCACCCTATGCCTCAGTCCTAACCAATAATGACGCTAATTAAACTACACTCTATAAATGTACACCCTCTACAAATACACGCTTATAGTTGGTCCCAAGGGGGTGCATATATGGAGGTTTGACTATACCCGGATACAAGAGTCAGCAGTTTACTAAAAATTGAATTTGCAAAAGGATGTAATTCAAGGGTTACTATCAGGCCTACCGAATAATTGATAATAGGAGCAATTAATTGCAATTTTACGTAATTGTTTTTGATGTTTCTCTATTTAAAAGATCAGGTTACACCAGTGAAATAAATTTGAATTTAATTGCAATTAATTGCAATTATTCCATCATTAATTGGGTTTAATTAATTTTATGAAAATTTTTAATTGATTTTAATTGTATGACGTATAGCAAAAATTAATTTTTAATTGATTTTAATTGTATGACGTATAGCAAAAATTAATTTTTAATTGATTTTTTCGGCAGGCTTGGTTACTATGCCGTTTTTGATAATTTTATATATGAATAATATGCACGCAAACTTTAAAATAATGTTTAAAAATATGTGCAAAAAATTATATTTATATATAAAGTAAAATCATAATACGCGCAAATTTAAGTATATGTACGCTGCGCCAACTGCGCGTATACAATTTACATCACTGATGCTTAAATCCCAAATAATCAAAAAGTACGTTCATTCTTGAGATACCGCATTGTTTGACGACATAATCATTATACTGTAAATAGTAAACTTATAATGTGATGATTTTTTGGCGAAAATGTAGTCGCAAAATGTAGCAATAAAAACAATACTAATAATAGAAACGCGATAACAAAAGAAATTTTAGCATGGCATCGGTCAGCTAATATTTTTATACTAGGGAGTTTTAAAGTTAAAACACGGAAGTCTAATTTTAATTGAAGTTGATGATCTTATCTTTAATTTTATCGAAAGTTTTACTTTTATTTGGTTATTTTTTTTTTTTACGAAGTATTATAAAAATTTTCCTATTTTAATGTCTTGAAAAACAATTAAGATATTTCAAACTCTCATTTAATTTCAAAATGCACCACTTACTTGTTAACTTTGAAACCCCTTACTGTCGATATTTATATGAGTAATACCAAGAAAAAACCAAACCTCGGGCTTAAACACATAACTTGCTGGATTTGGAATGTTATAACAAATTCTATTTTTACCTCGAGGTTTTAAAAAAATATATATATATAAAAGCCAGAAGTCGTGTTTTTCTCTTCGCATCGCTCTTAGTAACCGAAAAGTTATATATTAACAAAATAACCTTTTTTTCACCACCTTAAAACTTATCGAATATGACATTTTCTGTAATTAATATTTGTAAAAAAAAAATCACAAGGCAAAACATCATAAATGATATAATCAATGGTCTCACCGCAAATGAATATGACACGAAAGTTATCCCTTCAATCATTCTTTATGATGACCGTGGTTTACAACTTTTTGACCAGATTACTTATACTGATGAATATTATTTGACTAATTGTGAAATCAATATTTTGAATAAGAAAGTTGACCAAATCACAGATTACATCGCCTCGAACAGTAGTGTGATCGAACTCGGTGCTGGGTAAGAATAAAAATATTATGTACAGTCAATTCTCTTTAATACAGAGCTACTGTATTATCGTGAATTACCTGGCATGTCTTTGAAAAACTTTTATAATGCAGCTAATTTAAAATAAATGTGTATATCAGATCGTTGCGTAAGACCCGGATCATTCTCAATAATTTGGAAAAAAAGAAGAAAAACATTACTTTTTATGCACTTGATCTCATGGAAAATGAGCTTAATAAATCATTATCTTCGTTAGGAACTTTCTCACATGTTAAACTTGTTGGTCTCTGTGGCACTTATGAAGATGGAATAGACTATGTCGCAACTTTATCGAATGATAAACAAAAAACTATAATGTGGTTAGGCTCCTCAATTGGAAATTTAAGTAGAGAAGATGGTGCAAACTTTATCCGTCGTTTCCAAGAAAAAGCAATGAATCCCGGTGATTTGTTTTTAATCGGAATCGATGGGAGAAACGACCCTGAAAAAATTGCTGTTGCTTACAATGATCCTCAGGGCATCACTGCCGAGTTCGCAATGAATGGATTGGATCACCTTAATGTTATTTTTGATCAGCCATTTATCAATCGCAACAATTTTTATTATATTTCAACCTATGATGAAGATGATGGCAGACGTGAAGGATATTATAAGTCCAAAAAAGATCAAATATTGGAATTTGTAGTCTCTAATGATATCAACAAAGAAAAAATCAAAATCAATGTAAAAGAGAATGAACTTATTCGAATTGCATATTCTTTTAAATATAATAAAGCTGATGCCACAAAGCTTTTTTATGATGCCCGTTTAGCTCATGTAGAAAGTTGGTCTGATTCTGATTTGCAATATAATCTCCACTTAATTTATAAACCCCCATTCTTCTTTACACGTCCTCAAGAATTAAAAGGGTCTGCACCAACTGTGGAAGAATGGCAAGAAATATGGAAATCATGGGATACGGTATCATTGAGCATGATTCCATTAGATAAAATGCATTTAAAACCTATTTATCTTCGACATCCTTTCATTTTTTATCTCGGCCATATTCCCTCCTTTCTTGATACTAAACTGGCTACATATTCTCATGAAAAATTTTCTGAACCAGAAAATTTTGCCAACATTTTCGAACGGGAAATTGATCATGATATGGATGACTTGTCAAAGTGTAATCCTCATTCGGCTGTTCCTGATCAATGGCCAAAATTAAGTTCAATCCTCGAATATCAAGATAAAGTTAGGCAAAGACTTTTACGTATTTACGATGCTTATAAGGATAAGCAAATTCCACGTTCATTAGGTCACGTCTTATGGATGTCTTTTGAACATGAAGCAATGCATATTGAAACTTTTCTTTATAATTTGGTGCAATTCGAGGATTTTTTACCAGCAAAAGGTATTGCTATCCCTAATATGCGTCCACCCATTCGTAAAGCTTCAGATGCAAAATTACTGACAATACCCACACAAACCATTACATTTGGTCTTTATGATGATGGATTTGATTGGGATAGCGAACGGACAATCACTGTAAAATCATTTAAGATTCAATCACGCCCTATAACTAATAATGAATACTTGGAATTTATGAAAGCAACTATGAATCAGAATTATCCATTATCTTGGATTCCAATTGATCTTTCGTCATCTGAGTATAGAGTTCGGACTGTATTCGGACCTGTCGATATGAGCGTGGCTATGAATTGGCCTGTATTATTGAGTCTGGAACAAGCAAACCATTATGCTGGGTGGGCAAAGATGCGGCTTCCTACTGAAGAAGAGTTGCTTTGTTTTTATAATACTTACTCACGAAACACAAATTTGGATTCAAATTTTGGATTTTCCCATTGGCATCCAACTGATGTCCCGTTAGAAAGTAATTCTATTCATAACATAGATGGTGCGTGGGCCTGGACTTCTTCCAAATTTGGGGAATACCCTGAGTTCGTTAAAAGTAAATTGTATTCTAGATGTTCATCTGATTTTTTTGATGGAAAACATTACGTAATTCTCGGTGGATCATGGTAAAAACTTAATTCTTAATTTTTGTAAAAATTAATTTAATTAATTTGATTAATTAATAACTTTTTTTTTTTTTTGAGTAGGGCAAATTGGGGTCAACGCTGCTATCCATATGTATTCAGTAGCGTTATATTATGTCAAGCTTAAAATATAAAACATTATATTTAACTTATAGTGCCTCAAACGATGAATTTATATGATGGTGATTGCAATAAAAATATAGTAATCACCGGGTGCCAGTAGTGTTATAATTCAATTAGTTGATGGTTGATTTGATCGAATTAATTATATTGTGTTGTTTCAGTCATTAGTAGAAATATAAGTATATATGTAATTCATATTTGTTATTTATAGAAGAGTTGGTAACTTGAAATTGTTTTTCCTAAAAAGAATAAATTTGCTATATACACAATTAGAAAATCTATTAACTTATATTCAGTTTACATGTTAAGTCCGTTCAAAATTGATTGTTGCAAATCGAGGGTGCTGTCACATGATAATCGACCTCCTGATCTCGTCATTCCTCTTTATATCGAATCTTTTTGTAATGAGCCCGCTTTATAATGAGCTTTTTTTTTATTATCTGTTATAGATTTCGGTATAGGAACATAGTAAATTGCTTCTATAAAGAATTTTTAAAAAAACCTTTACCTTTTTGCTATTGGAATTTGTTCATGAATGTAGATCGTTTATAAATCCAATTACAACCGAAGCTTACTATAATGAATTTCTTCATAATAGACCCTGGGCATAACGAACTGTGAAATCTTAAATTTATATTAGCTAAGTGTGGATTTTTATATTCGATGATTTAATGACATTTATACAATTTAATTCAAGTTCTCCAATTCATTTTAAATTTGTTCGTACTCGTTTAGAATATTTTTAACTATTTATTCTGGATTAATAATAGTGGTTTGTCGTTTAGAAAACAATGAAGAAAGCCTTCCATTCCAAAAAAAAAAAACAATTTACAAAAAAATAAATGACAAAAAGGATTTATAAAAGCACGAAAATAAAGGTTGAAAAAATATTTGAAACTGTTAGGCTGGAAATGAGGCTATAGAGAAAATTATACCTAACCTAAAACTAGCAAAGCCCCCGAAAAAACAACCTATCGAAAAGGCGCTTATATTTGGCGAATGAATGGTTCTAAGGCTTCTGTCGTCCTTCGAACGATATCACGTGACCAATCAACGTTGAATATCTTCCCCAGCATCGCCACCAATTTTTTTCGATCACGTGATCGTACAAAAATCGTTAAGTTCGTTTAGATTAGGGTTAGGGTCTGTGCTAAGGTTAGGGTTTATGTGTTTTTAATAGCAAAATCGCTCAAGAAAAACTTTTTGTTAATGCACAGAAGGTGATTTCTTATGTAAATTTTTGAGTTAGAGGAGAATTTTTGAAAACGAACGTTTGTTTCGGATCTTCCTGATTGTGTTACGTTACACCAAGGCGTGATTTATTATTGGATAGTTTCACGTGATCGAAAAAATTTTATTAGTATTTTGGTGGCGATCCAGGGGAAGTTACGTTGAATCGGGAACACTGAACCCAGTGATCATCACTGTGCCACATGACAATCACTCGGCCTATGTTAGGGTTAGTGGTGGTAGGGGTTAGTTTAGGCCAGTTTGTTTGGTCTGGTAAACACAGTGTTCTTTAAGTGTCCTGCTGAACAAGTATCCGCAACCCGTAGGGATACAACGCAACAAGCAAACGACGATGGGGTAAGTTAGAAATAAGCTGATTATATAAAGTTTTATATTACAGATACTTAAAATACATTAAGGACAAAAAAGACTTTTAATACTTAAAAGACTTATAATACTAACTTTAAGACCTTTAAAACCTTTAAGACATAATTATACCCCAAATAAATAAAAGATCGTCACCGCCTATAAATAATTGAAATACAGTCCTCGATTTTGATTGGCTAACGGCCGAGGATCTTCTAATTTCCGGCCGGAATTAACTTTTTAATTTTTGTTCCTCATCGAGGGGCGTTACAAAAAGAAAACACTATGGGTTGTCTGTCCCTTCCGCTTTTGTGTTATACGTACTAACAGTGCAGAATTCGAGAGTATCGAATGAACCACCTACTGTTTACCACGAATGTTATAACGATAGCAGAGAGGGGCGAAAAAAAACAGAATCCTTCTGGAAAAAACTCACTTCTTACCATGAGAACCAGACGATTCGGGCAGCTAATTTCTCATTACAAAAATAGAAATTTTTTAAAAACTAAGCTCACATTATGATAAAATTGACCCAGGAACAATTTTCACTTAATGGGCGGCTGCGATTTCATTAGTAAAATTATAAGTAATTCTGGCCTAAGTTTTGATCTTCGCTCTTAGCCAATCAAAATCGATGATCTGTCGCGCATTTTTTGTGCGGGTTACATCTGTCTATATATATCTATACCACCTAATTCAGAGTTCGTCAGTTTAAACGTTTTTGATTGGTTACCTGTAAATTGGTATAATCCAAAATCTGTAATTATAGCTTAAATATGTAACTATTGCGACATTCTTGATCATCCACATGTTTGTCAAATTTGGAGATCATCTAAAGGCAGATATATAGTCATCATGTGATTTTTAATATAAGTAATCAATTTTTAAAACTATGACCTCCAAATTTGTGACTATTGCGACATTCAATCTAAAATATTACGTACTTTCTATCTAAACTAGAGATGTGCGAATGCAAGTTTTTTTGGTGTTGCATCACATAATGCAGCATTATGTCGCATGATGCATTATGTATGCCTGTGCGTATAATATAGATATCTCGAAACCTATATGCAGTGAACAGACTTTGTATTATTACTGAGAGGTTATCGGATTCAAAAACATAAACTATTGGATTTTATAGTGGAAACAGACCTGTAGATTGATTTTTTATTTGATTTCACAGGCTATTGATATTGATAGGAACAAGTGTCTATAAAGTGATTG